GTCTGGAAGCGCTGTTGCAACCTGTTCATTTTGGGTGACCTTGCTGGTATTTGAAGTACCCTTGCCATAGCTTCCAGAAACACACAAACCACCACAGTATGGAAAACTGACAGACAAGTGTTGGATATCTGTGATACTACTATGCTCTGTATAATATATCCTTCCCCTCACCCTTCTGTATAAATAGCTGCTGAGCTACTCCACTGGTAGTAGTTACCATCTAATTAGTATTCCTACTTCTAGTATGCCCACCCTGATCAAACCTTCCTCTAAACCTCTAAATACGGCTCACCACCACCAAACGCTCCCTGTATTAAACGGAACTACAATTCTGATAGCTTCTGGAGCAGGGTCCCAACTTCTTAGATGAACATACATGATCTGTCCTTCATGAGCTGTCCCCTGCTTCCCACTTTCTTCATTCCCCACCTTCCCAAGCCACATCCCATACCATTGCCAAATGTACTGCAAACCCCAAACACGGGGCGATGCCCCCTCACCCTCTGTTTCTAGATATCTGCCGCTTTCTATGCTTGCAATGTCTTTCCACTACCCCCAACTCCCACCCATCATCGGGGTGGTTCTGATTGATGCCTGGAATCCCAGCAGATAATAATAATAATAACTTGTACGCACTGAGAAGTTACTGTGTACACAGAGTATGGCAAACACTCTATGGTCATCATCTCATTCTATCCTTGAATAATAACATCTGCAATTAAGGGGAAATTGAGAGATGAGCCGGGGTTCCAGAAGAATAAGGATACAGCTGTAGAAGAAGCATCCGAGGTCCAACCACAGTGTTCCGTTTTGCAGAGACAAAGAAGGTGTATGAGGCGCTCCTTCAAAGAATAAGACCGCTTAGAGGGAGTGTGTCTATGGTGTTTTTGGAGAATGGTGACACATGTCAGTGATTTTCAGAGTTAATGGGAGGTTTAGTTAACACTAAAACAACAGCAGGAGCCCTGCTGGCCTCGTGGTTACCTATTGGGCTGTGAGCTGCAAGATCGGATCCACCAGCCACTAAACAGGAGAAAGATGGGACTGTGTACTCCCAGCAACACTTACAGTCAAGACACTCACAGGGGACGTTCCATCCTGTCCTCCAGGGCTGCTCCAAGTCAGCTCAGCCTGATGGCAGGGCGTTTGGGTTCGTGCTTTTAGAAAAAAACAGCAATAAAGGAAAGGACAAGAAAACCCACACACAATACGAACTTATCACATAAAATTATGTGGAACACAGAAACCAGAGCATCACACACACACACACACACACACACACACACACACAGAGAGAGAGAGAGAGAGAGAGAGAGAGAGAGAGAGCAAAATGACAGAAATAAATTCCTGCCTATCAAGACTTGCACTGAATGTGAATGGGTTAAATTTGCCAGTCAAGAGTAGCAGCATAGATAAGAAAACAGGACCCATTAGTATGCTGCCTAAAGAGGCACACTTCAGACAAACACAGCCGAATCTGGTTTTCCTGTAGTGTTTGTTAGAGTGGTTTTAAACTTTATATATGGAAATGCAAAGGGCGGAGTAGAGACAAAATAATTTTGAAGAAGAGAGAGGAGGGGGAGGGCATAAAAACAAGACAAGAACAGGAGGAAAGCGGCTCTGGACAGGGCCCTCGACTTATGAGCAGGAAGACGGGTAAGCGAGGCAGCCTGCTCTGAGCGCAAGGGGAGTCCAAGAGCCAGTGGAATAGAAAAGAGTTCAAAAATAGAATTACCTGTGGGCAACCACCTGATTTTTGACAAAGGTGTCACAGTAGTGCTGTGGGGGAAAGGATGTCGTTTCAGTAAGTCCCGTGAGTCCACTAAATACCTAGATGGAAAAAGAAATTAACCTTAAGCCCTTTTTCATACTGTTCACAAAAAGTTACCTGTGAAGTGGAAAGCCATGACATCTTTAATGCAACACGGGGAGAATATGGACACACAGACAGACAGACAGATGCTAGTGGTCAAGGGAGAAAAATGATAAGGAGAAACCTTAAAATGAATCGTGTGTTCTTCAAGACATGCATCAGGAGAATGCAAAGGGGAGCCACGGCGGAAGAAGATATTTATAAAATACATAGATTCAAAGAGGCCTCCTTCAGAATATATAAATGATGACCGCCGCCACCAAACAGCCCCCCCAAAACAGAAAATCGCTCCCCAACCTAGGGATGTGTTTTCAAAGTAATCCCACAATTCCATTTCACACGCGCTACCTTAGCGGTAGCCATAAGATTACACTGCAGTCCATAATAAATAAACGATTAGTGTAAAAAAACACACACGACCCCAACCCAGTTTCTTATCCGTAAGGCAAAAACAAGTCAAGTACAAACACGTAAAGATAAATGACACAAGCAGAGATTTCATCAGTAAGAAGCAGATAACCCAAGAGAAAACACAGGCAGAATATTTGAACAGACAGATCACAAAGGAGGAGGGCCAATTGGCCCATAAATGTGTGAAAAGGCACCTAACTTGATTACTCATTGAACCCAAAGCAAAGTGCTATCAAGTCCCTGGGGACCCCTAGCAGCCCCCCGACTGAGTGGGATCACCTGCACAGTTTCCCGGCTGTCAATCTTTACCGGAGGACATGGCCCCGTCTTTCTCCCACGAGCGGCTGGTGGGTTGGCAATGCCGACCCTTCTGTTTCGCAGCCAAGAGTTTTAATCACTGTGCCATCGGCGCTCTTCGATTACTCATTAAGGAAATGAAAATTAAAGCCATCATTCAGCCATCCACATCATGGAAATCAAACTGACAGCTGCAGCGAACGTTTCAAGGACGGGAGGCAACTGCGACTCGTGCTCGCGCAGATGATGGTGCAGAACGCTTGCAACAACTTCAGAAAATCCTGGCGGTAGGCCTAACGCGGAAAGTCACGTGCTCCGGGAGCCAGCATCTTCACTTACGGTGACATTCAACAGAAATGTGTGCATGCATTGACGAAGGCACATGCTCATGAATATGTATATCATTTACAATATAAATAACTGCAAACTCAAATGCCCAACCATACTAGAACAGAGGGATGAATGGTGGTATAACCAGACTCAGTCGAATGAGCTAGATTGGGGTCCCTCTATGGGACAGGAAGGAGAACATAAGGGTTTCTAAGGCACGAATGCTCTATTTCCTAAACTTGGAGATGGGTTCACGGGTGCTTGTTTTACTATAATGTTCCAAACTGTAGCTATAGTTTATGCATTTTCCGTACAGAAGATTTACTTCCAAATTAAAAACCCACCTGAGAAGCCAACAGAATGCAAGCTCCTGGTGTTTGTTTGCTAACTCCCTTAGAAGCTCTGGTCTTTGGGGCATGCGACCTGAGTCCAGAGAGTGATTTGAGGCTCACTCACTAGTTCACGGCCCAGCAACCCTTCCTAGCATCTCATGTGCTGGGAGGGAGGGCTTCTCTCCCCACGCCCACCTGACCTCATCTCAGAGCCTCCATGCTTGTGGTGCTTTCGCTGGCAACCGCCAAGCACTAGCTTTACTCTGATCCAGAACACCTGCCTTCCGGCGATGGAACCGACAGAGCCTACCTTTGACCCCAGTGTGAAATTTAGGGGGCCATAGCAAATGAATAGGACATGGGGATCACGCGCTGCTCCTGGAGGAAGCAAGACACAGCACCGTGCCCCTTGACCTTCCACCCCAAGCCTCTGCTCCCCACTTCGACTCACAAGGGCCCAGCACAAAGACGAGCCAACTCGAACCTTGATAGGAGAGTTGGTTTCCTATCTCAGACTGTCAGAGCTGGACTAGACCTTCCAAAAGCAAAGACCTCTAACGCCCTCTGATCACACAGAAAACGGAACAACCTGGAGAGGACAAGAGGTTTGTTTGCAGACACTCTACAAGGAGGGAGGCAAAACGGAGGCTAGAAATCCCAAGCTTTCTACTGCATCCAGACTGGCTTCTCCTCTGGAGGCTCTGTGCGTCTCTGGTGGATTCTTTGCAGAAGGGCAACCGGGCAGGTTACCCAACACACATGCCCCCTTCGCTTCACTACCCAGCTCTGCTCTGCCCACAACAGGTATGTCCCAGAAAGGGGTCTTTGAATTACCTCCTCACCCTGACACATTAAGGGCTTCAGGTGTCTTGCCTCCTCATTCACATCTTAAAATAGAAAGCTTGATCTCTGACTGCGACATAGGGAAGAACCCCAGTCACAAACAGATGAAATGCTTCACAAGCAGGAGGTTTTCAGCATCTGGAACATCTTTCTTTCTGCCGGGAGGCTTTAAAGAGCTCATGGGTGGGGGGGACCCCATTCTCTTTTCACTCCATTTTTCTAGGACCCTTTTTTCAGTCCCCTCGTCTGTCTCCTTGGGAGTACACCTGCTCCCTTATTAACTGTCATCACCAGCTAACATTTTCCACAGACAAGACCAGGTAAAAGGCGGCTATCTGAGGAACGGCACGCCGGGGCTGCCGGGTGCCCAGGTGCAGGGCGAGAGTCAAGGTGGCTGACGGCTCAGGCTATGTGTCACCTCGGCCGGACCACGGCTCTCGGTGGTTATGTAATGATACAGCCCTCCTCCCTACTGTGATGTCCATTTCCACATAGCAACTGGCCTCTGGAACCGAACCAGGTCAGTCAGCGAGGAGCGGGTGTGTACAGACCCCAGGGGAACCTGTACAAAAAGGAGCTTGAGGCTCGGCCCAAGAGCACGTTGATGACATTGGCGAGGGTAATAATCGCTAGGTGGACTGGAAGTGAAAGAGCCTGCTGGTCAGGTATGCACAGTCCTTATTTTTCCTGGTCCTAGGCCAGAGGAAAATCTCCAGGTTTCCATTTCATGGTGAAATATAGACTGCGGTCCTGGCTGGGAGACAGGACCTCTCACATGAAGCCCTATGAATAGCCCCTTGTTCTTGTACGTGATCTCCTTCACACACAGGGGACAGGTCTTGGGGGACCCTCCACCCTCTCTGTTAGGAAGAGGCAGTCTCAGGGCCTCACAAACGATAGGACCCAGAAACCAATGCCATAGAAGAGGGTCTTTTTATTGGAAAGGGGGCGAGAGAGGTAGGCCCAGGCTCGGGCATCTCGAATAAGGAGAAATATGGACAATGTGGATGAGAACAGAACGAAGGAGCTCCGGGATCAGATGGTAGCCGGCAGCCATCTTCACAGGTGCAGTCAGGACAGTGTCCACCTGGTCAGAGAGAAGAAATTCAGGATGTGACGCAGTTGGTCAAAGGCCCAAGAGGAGGCAGGAGTTAGTATCCCTCCCCTTCTTCGACGCATTATGGCCTATCAAGCCCCCCAAGCCTCTCTATTACCTTCCCATCTTCTTTTGCCCCACTAGCTCATTACCCGCTGCTCAGCCCTCTCATGCCCCCTTTGCTCCACTCCGTCCTCACCTCATTGGGGTGCCAGACAGGCCTTCCCACAAGCGCCCACACAGCACTTCTTGTTCTGTGGACACTGCGCATCACTCAGGCAGCGGTTAGGAGGATTTAACATGGCGCAGCGGATACGAATCTCAGGGCAGGAGCCAGGCTTAGAGTTGCCGGAACTTCCTCCTTTGATTGGATCTTGACCTTTAATTGGAACTGGTCTTTTAACCGGATCTTGTCCCTTGACAAGGACTTGGCCCTTGACTGGAACTGTCAAAAGAAGGAATGTCTTTAAACCCAGTGCCCCCGTTTCAGGTACCATCCTCTCTTTTGCCTTCAGCCCCTGATCTCTACAGTGTCCCCAAGCCATGGTCTGAGTTGGCCGCCTGTTCCAATTCTGGTCTACAGAATCAGGGTTCCCTCAAGTGTCCCTTTCAGCCCTCCTACCCCTCCGAGTCCTGGGGGGCTGGAGTGACTTCCACTGCCATTTCTGGGGACACTAAACAGAGGGGAAAGAGCACTGGACGGAGTGCCAGGAGGTTGGGCCCCATGCTGGCCCTGGGAATGGCCTTGATCAATCCTCACTTATCTCTAGGTCTGGCTCCTGAGATGGCACAGTTTGTGTTTGGCACCGAACCAAAAGGCTGGCGATTTGAATCGACCTAGCAGCACCGCAGAAGGGAAGGGACGCCTAGCAATCTACTTGTGTAAGGTCACCGACGTTGAAAACCCTGCAGAGGGCCCTTCTACTTGGATACACGTGACATCACCATCAGCCAGAACTGACCTCATGGAAATCGGAGGGAGGGGCACCAAGCCTGTTTCCTCCTTAGTAAAACGGAGGTCTTCAAATGACATGATTTCTCAGACCCTGTTGGCTCTTAACCTCCTCTTTTAGAGGACTGACCACTCGGTGCTCTCCCAGGGCATCCGAGGCAGCAGAGTCCACACTCAGGGTCCAGAGTCCTGGGGCTCCTCACTTTGTTGCCCATTCCGCCTGGGTACCAACACCTGGGGCCAAAGCCACATCGCACACTTTCCTTCCCCAGATGCTGGGGCGGCAAGTAGAGCATGCCCCAGGGGCAACTTCTTGTTCTTTCTGGTATCATGAAAGCGGCCACAGATTGTGGGGCTTCAGCCCTGACTACTGGTCCAGAAGGACTCTGACAAGACCCAGGGGCTGCCTCTGAGCCTCTCCTCAATCCAGCTCCACCCATGCCACCTAGCTCCTTACCTTCAACAACAGCTGCCTCCACGGCCAGGGAGCCCAGGACAAGGACGACTGCTAGAGTCCCAAGGACAGTGAGCATGAGCCTGGTGGACCTCATGGTGTCAGGAAGGCGCTTGGCCCAGAGTTGAGGCTGAAACTGGCTTTATATTGCCCCAGCCGGATCTGTCGCTGGGGTGGGTCTGTAGTTTTACAAGAGGTCAGGGCTGTATTCCCTAAGCTCTACCAGGAAGTAGCCACCCCCACCCTGGGAGGGACCTTGGGGTTTTCCCCAGAGATTGTTCAGAGAGAGAAACAGCAGCTACTCTGTCACATCGCCTCGGAGGGCCCCTTGGGCAATCCCACGTTCTCACAGTCACAGTGTTGGCCTGCCGGGAGAGATGTCATGATGACCACATGGTGCAAATTCTGAAAGGACACGAGACTCCGAGAAAGAGAAAGGTATCCTCCAACGTCACTCAGCCAGCCAGAGGCAGGCAGGTCCAGTCTGCTGATTTCACAAGCAGGTTGTCTGAAACCTGGTTTCAAAACCCTTACATCCTGTTCCTGCCAACCCCACCCAGACCTATCCTCTCCTTTCACCCCTCCCAGCATCGCACTGGGCTTGTTCTTCATTCTCCCCGGAGAAAGAAACCACAAGGCAAATTAGCCGTGAAGGTCTAATGACAGGCAGACATCTCTAGTTTATCTGGCCGGTCTTGCCTCCTCCTTCTTAGACCAATACCCCTTTCTTTGTAGAGAACTGCTGCTTCTTCATACTGCCAACTTCTAAGACGAATGGGGACTATCCATCTTGAAAACCTGATCCCAGCCACAAGGCGCAAGTGCGTGTGTGTGTGTGTGTGTGTGTGTGTGTGTGTGTGTGTGTAACTGAGAAACTTTAGCCTACTGAAGTTCTCTGAGTGGACACTCAGCGAAAGAGAAAAGTCTTTCCTTTTGGTAAAGTTGGCAGGTCTGGAGACTCCAGCAGCCAGATCTCAGCCTGGGCTGGATCAAGTATCAAAGAAAAAGTTACATCTCACACTAAGAGAAGCAGGTAAGCAATGGCAGATGATCTCTGAAGGCACGGTCTCCATTCTCCACCGCCCGGAGAGTGCCTCTTCTCACGTGCCTTCCACCGTTGGGCTAAAGCCCTGCCACCGAGTCCATTTTGATTTGTGCCCTGTAGAACTGTTCCCAAGGGTTTCCACACCTGTGACTCTTCCCTCGACCAGAAAGCCTCACCTTTCTCCCTTGGTGCAGCCAATGGGTTCAAACACTGACTTTGCAGTGAGCAGCCAACATGAACCCATGGTTGGGTTATAAACCAATCAATTGGCCTTCTGCCCAAACTAATCTGAGTTGTTCATCTGTCATGGCTACCCCCAAATCTGAGCACTAGAGATTAATATGCAGAAGTTGGGTATTGCTAGAAACAGCATCTGAAGTCTGAAAGTGACTGAAAGGAGGTGAGGGTGCAGGCAGAGGAGAAAGTAGATTAATTATTAAATGGAAACCAGTTGGTTAAATTCCCACTCTTTGTCTCTTCGGACTCAGATCACATGTCCACCAAGGCCAAGGCTTTGAAGTCAATGCCAGGAGGTTGGAGTCTGTTAGCTACCTTTAAGAAAAAGTTCACTGTGAACTAAAACATCCCAACAAGAGCGTGTGCAGAGTATACGACACAGTTTAAAAGAATCGCGTGAGCAGCCACTTTACTCACCACCCAGGAAAAGAAGAGTATTTTCTGTGCCTCCACCCTATGACGCCCTTCCCCACTGCACTCCCCACCTCCTCCACAGAGGTGACCACTTTCTTGGATTTTCAATTAATCAACCCTGTTCTCATTTATAATTAAACACGTCTATTTGGATTCTGGACTAGGTATACTTCATTGGGTATATATTTAAACTATCTGTGCATAGAATCATGTAACAGCATTGTTTTCGTATGTCTTTCTTATTTTGTTTAATGTCCTCCTTTTGAGATGCATCTATTTTGAACCCTATATCTTTGTTCATCTGCTCTAATTGCTGTACAGTACTTTGTTACATGAAAATGACAAATAGGGATTTATACAACCTTATGTTGGTGTACAACGAAGACTTCTAATATTTTACATAGTGTTGACGTACCGAGCAGCGTTGCTATGAGCATTCTTGAACATGTCTGCGGAGGACGTGAGTAGTTGGTTCTGTTGGGTAAGTAGTTAGGAAGGGAATTGCTGCATCACAGAGCAGAGTACTGAGGACAGACAGGCCCAGCTGTCAGAGGTATTGCCCAAGCCTTTCAATGTCATTGCAGCAACTCACACGTCCACCAGCAGGGGCCAGAGTGTCAGTTACTCCACAGCTTCCTCAACTTCTGTCTTTTCACTGGGCGTCCTGGGAGGCATGTCGTGGCATTTCCTTGCCTGGTGAAATTAAGCCCCTGTCACATTTTTACTGGCCATTTGGAAAGTATCTTTTGTGAGGTCTTTAAAGTGTCTTCCCCACTTGGGGCTGGCTTGTCTGTCCCTCCTTTACTGTCTTGGAGGACAAGAAATAACGCTCGTACCTGATTTATGAATCTCTGTGTGGGGCAAACTGTCTGAAAACCAGTTTGGCATCAGCTAGTAAAATAAAATGTGTATACACTCTATAATCCAGCAATTATACAACATATATTTTCACAATAAATATCTACCTATCTGCTGATACCAAGGGCTCAAGTAGAAAGAGAATGAATGTTTTGAGAATGATGATGGCAACAAATGTACAAATGTGCCTGACACAATGGATGGATGGGTGGATTGTGGTAAGAGTTGTACGAGCCCCCAATAAAATGATTTTAAAAAATCTATATACCCACATATCTACTAAGAGATACATACAAGTGCTGCTTGTAATAATAAAATACTGAAAACAACTCATCTTACCAACTGTGAAATGTTCGATAAATAGGTCACCACATTTTGTCATCATTCAATGTGATTCCATTGTGCGTCACTGTTTCATAGAGACTCTAGGACTGAAACCCTTAGTGACTCTGAAGTCAATCCCATGCCTCTTGGATTTGTCATTCCCGGGACAGTAAACCACACGATTATCTGATTCCAAATGGCCAACACCAGTCACTGATGCCTACAAGCTTGATCTTTATACATTCCATGTCACTCTGGATGCCATCCGCGTCTCCTAGATTCAGACTTTGTACATTTTAATAGCGGGGGTTTCCAGGTGTCTCTTCCCGTTTTGACTCCTGCTCTGCCAGCAGATGAAGGTCCCAAGGGCGGACTCCATTCATGTCGTTGTGGCCGGCGCGCCTTCCAGGAGGTGGCTCCTCTTCAGTCTGCTTTGAGAGCCGCCCAACCTGAGGGGCTGTGGGGGTAAGTGCGATACAGCCACGCACACTAGGACTGTAGCGCGATGTAACGTTGGGTGGAATGCATACATCCAGAAGTAATTCTCTAGATAATACGCTAGTTCTAAAGCACAGAACCAAGGAAAGCTAAGCAACATAGTGTCTCAGAATACTTAGATATGTAGTAAAAAATTTTAAGGGTTAAACAAAATTCGACAGTGCTGATATGAACATAGCGGATTGGGAACGGAGAATAACTCTTTTGAATATAACTAAATTGCCCCACAGAAAATTTCAAACAGGAATGTGAAGTGCTTAACCCTCTTCTTCTAAAATCAAGACTATGACAATCTTATGCCCAATTGTACTCGATATTATACAGGAAATTCTAACCTACATAATCAGGCAAGAAGGTATGAAAAGGACAAATATAGGAAAGAAAAAGAAAACTATCATTATTTATAGAGATGTAATTGTGTTTAAAATGTCCCCCCCCGCAAAAAAACTATAGGTAAATGATCAGTAAGGGAGTTTATGATGACATATTAATACTGTATAAGGGAAATATACATAAGTCAACTGTATCCTGTTCATCAACACAATTGGCAAATAAATGTCATAATCTTTATTTTAAATGTGAAGAGCTTATAAGAAATGCAACAGCTTCCTTACAGGACCACTACAGAGAAAATGAGAGACCATTAGGAGGAGACGTTTTTAAAGACCTCAGGATTTGAATTGTGACTCAACAAGATAAAGATGTCCACTGTCTTCGATGCTACATTCAGTGTAATCCAACCCACCCCCCAGGAAGAGGAGAGAAAGAGTTGAGATTCAAAAACTGTAAAAGGCAAAGGTAGTCGAGACATTGCTCAAAGGACAAGTTAATAGGACTTGATATTCCACATGTCAAGATTAATCTTAAAGCTGCAATAATCAACCTAGATTATTAGAACAATCTATTAACTATCTTAGAACAGTGAAAAATAAATATAAAAATAAAACAGAGTAGAAAACCTCAACAGAAATCATTGATAATTGCAAATAGTAAACATGTGTTCTTAATATGGTATATTACATAGAAAAGTTGGTTATATATTTTTTAATTTAATCATTCTGAAAGTTGGTTATATTATGGAGTGTGAATAAGAATCAACCCAATGGCAATGGGTTTGGTTTTGGTTTAGTGGTACAATGTTTAACACTTGGTTGCTAACCTAAAACAGGTTGGAGGTTCAAGCCCACCCAGAGGCTGTATGTAAGAAAAGACATGACGATCTGCTGTGATCCAGATGAGAGCTTAGAAACACCACCCCTGTGGCATTTCTACTACATCACATGGAATCGCTATGAGTAAAAACAGAATGCACAGCTCCTACCATAGTTACATTAAGAAAAATACGGAAGGATGCACGCTGCTACATTAATATGCTCTCTTGGGAAGAGATAAAGACTGACCAGGTAGGCGAGAAGGAAGCAAAGGCATATTAAAATAGAAACATTATTTCCAGGCCCCGTCCCACAACAAAACCCTCATCCTGTGTTATTCTGGATTTAATTGTGTCCCCAAAATATAGGTTAAGGTCCTAATCCCTATACCCGTGAATGCGACCTAGTTTAGAAATAAGGGTTTTCTTTGAAGATGTTATCAGTTAAAATAATGAGATTATATCAAAGTAGTGTGGGTCATAATTCCTTGTTGAATGGTATTTTTTTAAAAGTGAGGGCAAACTCGGAGACAGAGCTGGGGGCGGTGGGGACAGACAACAGGTGAATTCAAGCCACAGAATTCCGAGGCTTACCTGGAGCAACAAGAAGGATGGCTCTTCTCTGGAGCCTGAGGAGGAGCCTGGCCCTGCCAATGGC